TTCTATTAAGCAATTAGTAATAGATGATAATTTCTTCCTCGGTTAAACTTGCACACTTGTAGATCATAGCTAACAAATAGATTCATGTAAAAGTCACAGTGAGAGTTAGATTCACATAGAAAAAAATCTATCATTGATTTTTTAATTGGTATTGTAGCTGATTAGTGGTCGGTTTAGCGCATTCATCATATGAAAAACATTGATACTCATGTTCTATGTCGATCTATGCTTTAGTGTGGAAGAAAAAGTATCAGATCAATAGATTCCTGAAAGATTTTCATGTATATTAGGTTATCAATCAAACTTTATTGTAGTATTAATAGTCTTGGCGCAAGTAAGTATCACGGCGACTAATATGTAATACAGCTTGCTCTCTTGCCTCTTCTATCAGAAAAATGAAAATTTGAAAAAAAAAGTTCTATTGTTACTCTAGACTTGTGTATAGTTTTTCATCACAATTAAATAAATATCCTCTTAATACTTGCTTTTGTGGAATTCACTTAAAAAAGTAAGTATAAACGTGTATCGGAAACCGAAGTTTTTCCTTACACGCAGTACTTACTTGAAAAAAATAATCCTTCTTCGATTCAGATTTTCGGTATTCAATTTATTTCAGGAAATGCACTGTTCTCCGTTCTATGAATGAAATATTTTGATCTACATAGTAATGTTGTTTGTCTCTCATCTCTATTCTCGTTTTCCGTTGTTAGTATTGCATTATTATGTTAGAGTTGTATATTTTAATGCAGCCATGACACATACGGTCAAGCTATGTGCAAGCAATCAACTAAATTTAACAATGCCACGACCCATATATTAAGTCGATTTCTGTCACAATAAACGAATCCAGTTTCTTATTAATCATAAAAATTTAGATGTTCACGATTATTTTATCGGAGAGTAATAGAAATGGATATGGCAGAAAGAATCTCAATATGAGGAATAAGCTGGTCGAATAGTAGTTTTTGTAAATTTCTACTGTGCGAAAATTGTTTTCCAGGAAAGATATATCGCACATCAGAGACCTAATGCGCTCCACTGTATTTTCTCTTCTTGGACTTGTGACTAAGACATAGTATTAATCGTCAGAGCTTGAATTCCAAAATATTCTTGTATAAAAGCGCAAATAGGAATATTTAAAAATTAGATAGCTCTTGCTTCTCCTCGTTGCTCGAAGTAATCAAAAAGTCCTGAAAAATAACCTATTTTTGGACACGTTCCAAGGGATTACCCATTTGATTCTCAATAGCGGCTTTTATCTAAGATATTTTTTAGATTTATCGCAGTCAATTGGCTGATTTTTAACTTTAAAACGATTCCACAGATGGTTGCAAAAGGTTGATGTGTGTATGAGTATTGTGAAGCTTTTTCTGTCACACTGAATACAATGCATTCCATTGACATTATCCATAAAATAGTAAATAATCTTCTCTTAGGAATGTATCAGTTTCTTTTGTCTCTATTCAATAAAATGTGAAAGTATCTAGTCTTATTTGAAAGAACTAAAATACTTGAAGTTAAAAATAAAATCCTTTGTTCGATCCTCAAGCTTATTAGGAGATATTTTTATGAGGTAAGTTACATAAGATACTATTCTCAAAAGAGAGAAATCTAACTTTGATTCATTCAGTAGAGTCTTCTGAAAAATTCGGACGTGATCAAAACATCAAGTAATTTTCAGTTCTATTGCAGCATGAGCCGTTTCATGTACAGCCAGTGAAACTAGATAACATTGAGCATCAAAATCCACATATTATTTTTTATTTAATTCACTTTCTCGCTATCTCAATCAGCTTCTCAACAACTATTTCATCCATCTCTTTCATGTTATCCTGTCGAGAACATTCACGCCTAATGCAGTATGTGGACCTCATATATTTCTAGTAATTATATAAGCACTATGTTTTCCGTCGAAGGTCAATGACTCTGAGAGTTATCTATCGATCGGTAGCAAGATGAAATTTGCGACCAAAATACATTGATGCCTTTTATGTCACAAGATAAGAGAGTCCTTCAAAGAGCTTGTCCATGTCAAGTACATTTTTTTGTCGAAGTGAAAGACAAATTTATAGATACACTGTTTCATTATATCTAAACGTGTTCCTCTATGAGCGTACAAGAAAACAAAGTAAAAAGGAAGATGCAAGTGCAACTTGATAAATGACAATCTGACTGAACAGAGAATGTTATTCATGAAAAAGTTCGATATGACTGATTTCATGCATTGAGACTTATCTCCTTTGAAATTCGCCCTGGAACATAATGATGTTTTTTAATACCATGAATAGTTTCTCGTTATAATCACAATGGAAACTTTTCGTAACTAATGACGAATCAACTATCTACTTATTTCATGAAAGTTGTTCAATTTGAATTTATGAATCTAGAGACTCATCTGAACTAGATTTCTTCTTATGCTAGTTACTATATTGATTGAACTTTCTCAAATAGAGTGAAGGATGTTAGCAGAAAACATACTGCATTAGTCACTATCTGATGTATCTATTCGAACGGTTATTCATTTACCTGGAGTTTTCACCGTGGTACATTGACCTTGTTTTCTCAAGAAATAAATGGCTAGCACAAGACTCAACATAGTCAGAAAATTGCTGGTGATTAGAATCCATTCACACGCGTTGAGTGGTCGTTTGATTATCTGATGGGTTTGTCGAGGTTTATGAAAAGGTTTTTCCATTTTATTATGCGTAGTTAGGGATGAACTTGCTGGTTGACTTTCAAGGCTTACACCTGCATACGAAGTCGACAAATATAAATTTGACATTAGGTTTGATGTGATAGGCATGAGTCCTAAAAGGAAATTTCTAATCGTAAACAAAGCAAAGCATCCTATTGTTACAAACCAGTCGAGGGCATCTTATCGTCTTCGACATTGTCGAGTAAAAGAATATCTTGAAGTGAGAAACTTCGATGACTACATTGTTCTCGTAATCGTTGATATTCTGAAAAAAACCATAAAGAGTTTCGTTGAATATGAATCAGAATGAAAAACAGAAATAATAAACCTTGAAGTCGTTTCGCGGCGTCATTACATTGTATTTTCTTAAATGCTTCAATTAGGTAGTCACAATCTTGATCGCTGATTATTGCCTTTTCAAAAAGAGACTCCAGTACTCGAAGCGTTCCACTAAGTGAAGGATCATCACGCAAATATTTTGGAACGTCTTCGCCAAGAAGAAAATGCAAACGATGTCGATCATTATCGGATAGAAGGTCCTGTATTTTGAGCAACAATGCTCGAAAATCAAATTGACCACTCATTTGATAAAGACAAATCACTATCTATAAAATAGTAATACGTAAAACATCAGTCGATTTACGTTTGAACTGAGATCGATTAGTTAGCCATATATACAATGTCTACTACTTGCAACAGACGATGCCGCATAATGTAGAAGAGACAAATAGTAGAGGAATGTATGATACGGTTTTTTCTTGTCGCGTGGAAGAAACAACACAGAACATGGGTAACATGTTTCAAAGAAAAGAAAAAGCAGCAATGTAATGAGAACATGACTAACAAAATTGATTAGACTCAACACTAGTTATATACTAGTGTTTACACATTGTCGATTCTTTATACTCATGAACCATTGTGTTGAAAGCTCAATTGTATTTAAAACTGTTCAAAGGTATCTTCTCTTGTGTTGTCGATCAAAGATCTGTTTTAGAGTTGCTCAATACGATTAGAAATTCGCTGCTACGCTTGTTTTTTCTCTTTTCCTATTCTGAATGTTCTTTGAGTCGCAGATATCGAAGAAGAAAATCTACAGAGACAGAACCGACGAAAGTTACGTTAATAGAAGGAAGATAAATAAATGGTCACAGAAAGAAAGAATAGTACGATATTTCTGTGGTATGAGTGGCCCATCTTCTTACTGATCATAACACGGCAAGGAGAGATTCCATAGAGAAAAGAAACGCAAGTCCTATGTTGAGATCTTGAAAAAAGTCGGAACAACTCTACAAATAAAAACGATGGAATCATCCGGTAAAGATTTTTCCAATGAAGAGTAAAATTTAAATAGCTGACACGTGAAACAGTGACAAAAGCACCACACAATTAATCAAATACAAATATCAAACGAGAAAATTTTGATAACAGTATTTCTCGATGTTACGTGAAGTGTCTCTTATAGGTCAAAAAATTCGATGCTGTGATGTCAATCAGCAGAATATCCATCAATGTATCATTCTGTAACAACAATCAAATATTAATATGTAGAAGACTTAGATTTTCATGGACTGTTATCAATCTTTCCCCGTTCTTTCTATGTATGTATTTCGATAAATTTGTATTTAACCAAAAGGCAAAATAAATGAACAATAACCATGAAAGAATGAAAGCACAAGATAAATACGAGCGAGAGGAAAAACCAAAACAGCTATGATTAACAACGAGCGAACAAAAAATAAAACATTAACATGCAGGACCAACTAAAATCACAGGAAGGATACATGAGAAAAGAAAAAGATATAGCGAATTGTTCGTAGAGAGAACAAGAAAAAACAATAAATGAATAGGTCAAAGATCAAAGTCAAAATAGAAGAAAAAAAGAAAATCACATAGAGATAGTCTATATGAAAAATGAAATAACCATGAGATATTCCGTTTTATGTGTTCCTTCAAGTATCAATAAAAAATATAATAGTAAACCAATGATGAGTTAGTGTTTTAATGGATATTACCAACAACAGTTTTTATTCAACCTTCGTTCAGCATTAGTTAATTCACTACATTTTTGGGTATCACATAGATAATATGTACGATGTTCATATATAGGAAGTTATGATGAATCTCGAATGTTAAGATCCAGATCAAGAAGTATGGATCGGTTCCGGTAGAAAAACATTGGAAATCGATGAAACATAGAAGCAATATTCTGACCGGATCTTCTCCAGATTCTCAAATTGACTTCCAGTCAACTTCCTGTTCTTTCTTCTTCAATAGTCAGCTCATGGTGAATAAAATTTACACTAATTTATGCGCAAAAATGAGTTGTTGATCCTTGATGTTCTGTATTTATTAATAGTGCATCATCATTGAATGATATTGATTTACAATCGTATGTCTTCTGTTGTTTGTATGTGTATGATGGCATGGATTGTTTCCGTAAAAGATATTCGGTAGATGGAGTGCGTAGTTGAAATGGTGAAAATAGATCATATGGTATAATCATCGAAAATTCATTTGAATTAATAGATGATTGTTCTTTTTCATTATTATTATATTTGTTGATAATATTATTAAATGAATTCATTGATTTTGATGTTTTATCGGAATATTTTGATGTTCTTTATAATTCAATTATAACTCTTTGCATACATAAACAATCATTTACTGCACACGTACTAAGGCATCGACAATATTCTTTTTCTGTGAAATTCATTCGATATAAGTCAGAATCTAATTCAATGCCGAAAGATGATTTTTGTGACTCGCTTATCAAGCATTAATTACAACATCAAATTTAAAAAGTAATTCTGATGAAAAATAGTGTATACACAACTTAAAGAAAGGTAACCATGAAAAACTATGATGCAATACATTCGTCATAGACAAGGTGACTCATAGCTGTTGATTCACATGGTCGTATTTTATTGAATACTATTTATAAATCGATTAAGTCTAAATAGAAGAAAATATTGATTGACTCACACAGAGGCTGCTAAGTTTGCTTTGTTGTTTCAAAATGGCTCGCAACAACAGTTTAACGAAGTCGATGAGTTCTATTATCACATCGACCAATGCGAATACCTACAATATACCAATGTGCAAACAGCGTACTCATGATGCGCATATGGCTCAAATGGCTCTACCAGACCCTAACTATTCTATACTTTTGCTTGGCGACTCGATGTTTGAAAATCTTCAAACACGCGCTGATTTTATCGATCTCTTTCAACTATATAATGTTTTCAATGCCGGAGTCGGCGGTGATCGAATTCGTTTTCTAACTACAAACTGGATTAGGGTCTTATTGATGGTTCATCTCGTTTACAACGAACAGTCAATCGTGTTATTGTCCTTATCGGTACAAATGATTTGAAACGAGACGATTGCTTGAAAGAAAACTTGATTATTGAAATGAGAGCACTGATTTATCGATTGAAAATTTCATTATCACATGCTCGAATTCCAGTTGCTCGCATTCTTCAACGCAACGATTGGGTTGCTGTTCGAGCCCAAAGAGCAAATGAATCTATTGGTCAAGCATGCCAACATGAATCTGTTGAGTTTCTTTCACTGGGGGATTACATTCCAGAATTGGACTTTGAAGACAATGTACACCTGAATAATAGAGGTTACGCCAAATTCGATACAGCATTGAAGGAACTATTTGAAAACAATCAGGACAATGATGTCCGTAAAGCCGTGAAATAGGGCAATTACGAAACCTTCTCAAACGATGTGGTGATATTATGAACACATTTTTTTTCTGTAGATCATTTGTGTCATAAGATAAAAAAAATTAGATTGACATTATCGTTCAGTATATGGTCTAGTGTCTTTAATCTTGTACATCTCCTCTCTGACATGTCTCTCTATAAAAAGGATGTGATCTTTCGCATTCCATTCTATTTGTCTTTTTAAGATATTTATAGTGGTTTTATCGTGAATTACTGAAAGCTATTAGTGAAAAACTGTAATCATGCCTCGATACGAAATATAATGGGCGACCTATATTAGGTGATGCTAAGATTTCTTAGGATAATTTCAACCTAGTAGATAAACGTTCACATATTGGTTCAAGAGATTGAGCATAGCAGAATATCAAAATTAATACTTCTTCTTATAAAAGGTTCGCACTGTGAGCTGTTTCTTAATTAAATATAATACGTTTTTCTGATTCAGCATTATTATCAGAATCATTTCTAGTTTTGAAATGCCACAGATAAATTTCCTAGGGAAGATTCGCTCAGTCAGATGGAGAGATAAACCAGGAAATCACAGTGAAACAATGGTGTAATGTGTTTTTTTGGAAAACAACTTTTGCGTCACCGATGTTCAAAATAAAACATCAATAAATGTCTTTCGTCAAACGTTTCCTATTATCTTGAGTGCGAAGTGAGATATTTTGTTCGACTGATGATAAATCCCTCACCCTCCCATTTCAATTAGATGATAAGAATTTAAATCTTATCAAATCATGAAACAACACTTATTTTATCTTTGAACGATTCGCATATTCCACCAGAAGTGAATGATTAACGATCGAGAACTCTTTTTCTCAAATGATAAACAAAGGAGGTGAATCTGTTGTGTATGAAAGAGACCTTTTTCAATTCTTTCAAATGTTCAATTCGCAATGAGTGGGTATTTATTGAAAGAAAGATTCCTTGTTAAAACAATACGTAATAAAAAGCAGTTATTTCTTGATCATACAGATCTCAATGTAAAATGAGATTACTATTGAAGATGTGGGTATGGGGTGGTGATAGAAGCAGGGATGCCGGTTGACAGATGAATATCATCCACACTTACTCTCACAGCCCACATCCACTCCCAACGCATTTAATACCAATGAGAAAATAGTACTTTGATAATCATTTTTGTAAAATTTTTTATCTATTCTGCTTAATTTGTTGCATGATTCAGCGTAGTCTTCATGGAATTTACAAAAGTAAAGCATTTTCTACTAGAAATACGAAGCGGCTATATTGTAGTTGATGTCCTTTGACTATGATTGAACTTTTATTCGACAAACGTGATGCATCCTATTGCTTGATTTCTTAATACAGATCGATAAACTACTGTGATTGTGGTGTATTCTATCATTGTTTGCATCATGCAAGATGGCATCGTCTAGTTAAGTGTGTCACTTTTCTCGGTCACATCAAGGAAGCATAAGTATTCATTTCCTGTTTCATGTATTGCGTCGCTTATTTATACTTAATAAAACAAACAAAAACCCATAAAATACATTATTTCTGATAGCAAAAAAATGTGTCATACTACTAATTTTTAGCGCGACTGATTAAGCGGATAAAGGAAAAGGTAGAGTATCATGTCTAAAATGGAATTCCTCATCTCGCTCATTTACTTTATTCATGATGTCAAAGAACAAATGACGTTGGTTATTATATATACGGCAACAAAATCTAAGAAAACTCGACTCTTTCTAGTTGAAACATTTATCTATAGGACATATATACATAAATAACATAAACATTTGACCAAATTCATAAGCAAAGATGAGCATTGGAAATATTTTCCTCTTTGTTATCCTAGTCTTTAATATCGGTACGTAAACAAAAATGAGCATGTAATTTGAATCTGACTGATTGTTACATAGCTTCTGGAGTGAAAATGAGAGTTAAAAACAAGTGTTGGTACGCTCTGAAAGTGCACATCAGCAATGCTGACCATGATCGTTGGATAGGTACTGGACAAGACAGTTAGAGAAGTAACAGTCGTGCGGATCTAACCTGGTATCTGGGGTCATAATACACTCGCTGAAATTAACGAGGAAATCCGTCACATTTGGTACGAAATCTCATTCATCTATGGTTTCACATATCTAGTGACTCTTGTTCCGGTCGAAGGTGCTGGAAGTAACCGTAAAAACCTGTGTTGTGTTAGTTGAAATGCTCTGAGCAAGTGCACCGACAACTTAAAGGTTTAAGCAAATGAAGGACATTCAAAAGTCATTCGGCGAACCCGACCTACTTCAAATCCAGATGCCAAAACGCCTATTCGTGGTGGGAAGATGATAAGTCTTCCATGGCTGATACCTGGAATCCTGATCACATGAAGATCACTTTTTGTCCGTGAACTTTGTATGACTATATACGGTAAAAACTCAATTAGTGCATCACCTTCTTAGCTGATCAATGTGTTATAATGAACAGTTGCCAAGCGTTTCGAGTGAACTTTGTTATTGTTAAGCCTTTCCTGAATCCTGACCGAGCGATTTTTCTCGTTGCTGTCATATCTACCGATTTTGTATTATGAAGATAAATGAAAAGCAACATCCACACTCTAATATATTTGTTACTGGTTAGTGCAACTTGATGTATATAGTTGATCTATTGACTGACAACAGACACAAGGAACAGATCGAATCAGCTGAAAGGAAAAAATAAAATACCGTCGAGCTTTCTGCTTGGAGCTCAATGACTGAATAAGCTCTCATATTTTGAAATGGTACTTGCTAAATAAACTCTTGAGGAAATAAGGCTTGTATGTTTCTGAACTATTAAGAATGGCCTACATATTTACGTTTCGCCTCCGAACTCTTAGGCGATGAATGATTACAGTAGTTGAAGATGATTGTAATGAAATTGCAGTTCTGTTCGTCGGCTTGTAACTGTTGGCAATCATCCAAACTGTGAGGGGTGGTGACGATAGTAACGCGTGTGCGATCGATTCTGCTGTCAAGTCACCAGAGGGTTTTCTTTTCTATGTACAACAATGATTGCAAACATTCGGTTTCAGAATGTCGAGACAATTTTTGCCATTTATTTTGCTGATTCTGTTGAATGTGGATGTGAACCAGAAGAGGACACATTGCACATCCACATCCTAGAAAAAAGTTTGAGCGAAATCTGTAGGCCTAAACTATAAAAATGTCATTTCCCAAAAAAACAAAATATAATAACAATGTGCAATTCTTGGAAAATGAATTCTATAAGATGGCGCAGTTTAGAGAATATGTGGCCATGTAGAGTATGTCGACATGTTTGAATGCTATAGTTTTGATATATATCGAAAAATCTGTCGATGAGAAATGAGTTTTTTCTTCGTGGAATAACGTGATTTTCGAGGCGAAGTCTTCTTTTGGCAACAGTTGTCATTCTGCGAGAAAGCACTTAAAAGGCTCAATGTTTAGGTTTCTAAGTAAATAGAGATGAATACAAGATGGCATACGTGTAAGACAGATTTAAAAATTTGATTACGTAGGCCTCTGGCCGAATTGATTGCCTTTCTAGTGCAATGAATCCTAGAATATATAGAAGTATGACAAAGCTAAGAAAGAAAAGTCTTATGTACATATAATAAAGCTTAGTCAAACTTCAACGTATTCAAATATCACAGAGAACGAATGCTTGTAGATTGTTTTAGTATGTGTTACTTTTCTTTTAATCATTATTATTTTATTGATGCAAAATATAGTGGTCAGACGAGAGTACCGAAACATTCTTCATCATGACAGTCAGCTGTCGGATATGTATTCGGAATGATTTGGGTTTCTGTGGTCAGTTCAAGAACTGTACCATCCGGACCAGGGAAGTTTACTTGAATAAAAAAGCCTTCCCAGCCATTCAATGGACTTTCAACGGTCAACGAATACACAATGGTTGTTGCATTCTGCCCCTATGTAACGTACCCAAAAGAATAGAGTAAAAAGAAATTATAACAAACATTTTTTTTTACTTCAGTCACAACTGGAGTATTAAACCAAATTACCGGATTGGGTACAGCTTTGCCGGAATGATTGGGATCTGCTATGAGTAGACGGAAATCACGACTATGTCAGATAAATAACCAGTGTAATGAATGGACAAAGCCTTTATTTAACAAACCGTTGATCATTAAGGGTGCGAGCATGATAACCATAGGCACTCATTGGTCTGGGTCCAACACTAAAATCAACGATTGCACGTATGTAACCATGCGTATTATTCGATGTTTTCATCCAGCGGAGAGAAGGTAATGGTTTATTCTTGAATTCGACAGATATAGGATGAATTTTTGATGAAGAATATAATTATTTTACTCACTTCATAAATGCTCAAATAGAAACTTCGCATCGTCCAGAATAAACTAATCTCATGACCAGCACATGAATGGTCGGCATTAGGTAACCGTCTATAATAGATTACTAATATTCAATAGAGATCATCTTTGCTTTGATCACTTTGAGATACCTGAGATAAGTGCCACCCGTAGCTAATTGTAGTTCTTGCCAAAATGTGTCCTAAAAATGAAGATAAAACAAAATAAAGTTTGATCACGTCGATAAAAATCCGCCTACCTCATTGTCGAGCAAAAAAAATTCATCGCCACTCGATTGTATTTGCAAAATTTTTGTTTTCGCATATCGATCAAAGTAGTCTATATGAGCAAAAATATGAACAAAACTAGCAAGTATAGAGTCGTATGAACATACAGTATGGATCGATAATCTGTGACATTTTGAGCAAGTTCGGATTATCAACATAGCTAGTAATATTCAATTCGAAGTAATCCTTGAAGGCAAATGTCCAACCATTCAGAGACTGCAAAACTCAACTACGACAGAAAACTGAATTTCATAAATTATTTCATTCACTTACACGAAAGTGATGATGAAGACTCTATAGAAAAAAAACTCTATTCGATTCATTCAACTAGTAAATCGGTTCTTTGTTACTTTTTGAAAATCAGCCATATCCATCACGATAGGTATTGCACCAATGACGCGCACATTATCAACAGCAGCAGTTGTCCAAGCTAAAAATTTCGAAACGTCAAAATAGAAATATGTTACGTCAATCAAACAACTCACTTGTCCATCCGCGCTACAATTCAAATACTCATAAAAATATTGGATATGTTTTTAGAGAAAATAGTTTACCTTAGAAGCACCACTGATAACAAATGTCTCAGGTACAGGAATTCCGAGTTGAGTTGCAAATTGTTGGACAACGTCCATAGCGCGAACACTAGCCTGAATGGAATGAGCATTGACACAAATTCTTCTAATAAACTATATTTTCTTATACCTTGGTCATAGGCATGAGGACAAGTTCATATGGATTAATTGGGTTGTCAATAAATTTTCTCCATGTCCATGCAATAATACTATCTTCTAAGCGGTTCCTTTCTGTTGGATCAGCCTGCCAATAAATCGTTCTATAAAAATAGACTCGATCGATGTATGAAGCTTACCATGAAACGGATCGGTTCACTAGGGATCGTTTGCAGATCGACACTGATACTGCCAGTGCTTGCACCAAGCATAGATGTAAGAGTGACGAAGTTATCTTCCGGTTTCGGCATCCTTTAGAAAATATAATCAATAATAATTATATATATTTCGTTTTCATAACACATGAACTATTCCTACGCGTCATTGTTACTGCCACCATCGATTAACATGAAAGCACTTTTCGGCCGAGTCAGATTATCGGGAACGGTGATACATAAAAAATGCCACCAAATAGATCGAGTTGAGAAGCTCTCTATAATCGAAAGAAAAATGCTGATTTATTTCTCTCTCCACTCTCTCATAAATTTCACCGTTGAACCATTGTTGCGATGTAAAGTTGAGAATATATAGTGTGTAGTCAGGCTGTTTATACGTTTGTATCACACGCCACGCGAAGTGCTCATCAGGTACATTCACATAATCATCTAACGGGGTCGATTGACATTGATCGATAATTAAGAGACTCACAGTAACAATGATTAAATAGGCAACTATCAATCTGATGCGGCACATATTTGTAATGAAGAAATATGAATGCGATAAAAAAGGTATACAGATATCTAGTTCTCCAGTCTTTTGTTTAAAACATGCCTACATGTTTTTTTTTCGTGTCTCTTTAATGATTATAACTTGATAACACTCACTAGATACGTTTGTGTGTTCTGATGAGTCGAGGTCTATCGTATAATATTTGCCTACTTGCGTAATGAATGCACTTAAAACAAATTCTCTTCTATAAAAGTTCGTTTATATATCTATCACATAGCTTAAAAAATGTCATACTTTTTCAATGTGTAAGACTTTCTACTGTAGGAATGTTGTACCTTGAACGTATTCAGGTTTCAAATGAAAATACACAAAAACTAATGCATGAATAAAGTTCCTCACCTAGAGTCAAGAATCGTTTATAAGCTAACAGTTGTTTAGGAAAAGATATTTAGATATATCCTAGCATTGTTTTTTTCACGCCTCATCATGCAATACAAGAAATCATGAATTAATTGAAATCATTCCTAATCAGACAAGAAAATGCTAAACGCTTGTCGAAACATATTGATCACCGTCTGTTACATGGGCAATGGTAGTCATTCGTTTCAGCAATCAGTTACTGCTGATTGTATAATTTATAAAGTAGTTTTCAGGTGTTTTTCTTCGAAAACAAGAGCTTTTTATTTGTTTTTTTTTTGTGGTGCTTATTACTATTATTTTTCAGGTCTACAGTCTATACCGAGCCTGTTTTTCATCAGGTATTACATCGATTGTCTTGTTTGAAAGAACAGGGCAAGTAGGTAGACGAGTCTGCTCTTTGAGTTCTTATCATATAAAATAAAGCTGAAAGAACGTGTTTTATTTACTTATTGTGTGATTTCTTCAAACTTTCATCTCTGTATCAGAAACACACCAACAAAATTCTGATATTAAGTAATGACGCAGTAAATGACTAAATACACACACTAAGTACTGATCATAAACTCTCAATGAAGCTTGCATTGAAGCAGAAGAAAGAAATTCTTGGTCTGTTGTTGAGGACGAAATATCAGTTTTTTCACAATGCAATTCGAAAGATATTGTATGAACAAATTTATGCAAACAAATTTCACTGATGGATTGTAAATGGTAATGTTAGCCTTTAATACATACACTGACTGCATCAATTTTTCCTAGTCTAAAAGGTCACAGTTTTAGTATTTAAATTAATGGTGGGTGGATGCAAGTAAAGAGAAGGCTCACACCATTGCTTCCTAACCAACACAACTCACGTCGTCAAACTTTTGGATTAGTTTTTTTTTTCTAAAATCGTTGATGCACCAGTTTTTTGAAGTTGCTTTATTTTGATTGCTATGGATAAGAGCTTGATGAGTTTTTTCACGAAGAGTGCATTGTGGTAAATATCTATGCAGTGAATGTTTTATTGTTGGAAGGAAAAACTCATGTAAAACTTGACGCTCCAAATAAAAATCGTACTGAGGATGTATGAAAGTTCATGTAAGAATGGGTAGGCGAAGAAAACATGCACATCGGCGTTCTGCAATAATCATTTACCAAACCTTCCTCAATTGCATAATCTCGATTGATAGGTCATTAAAGTCTGCATATTTATCTTGCAGCAGTTTTCAAAGAGAGTCTAGTAAACCAGACTAGAAAGAAGAGGTGAATACAGCTATTCATAAGGTAAAAGAAAAATGCAGGCATCAGGCCAGATCGAATTATGGAACGACTGGACCTATGCAGCCTCTGATATCTGCAGAAGTAGTCATCATACTCTAGGAAAGCAGATTTAATACTGAACTTCAAAAGTTCCGAAATTTTTTACTGAAATATTCCAGATTCAGTTGTATAGAAATCATTTCGTAGTATTTTAATGGAAACTTCCTAAGAGTTTCATAGATCGGTTAGTAGTTTCGAGCATCACGAACTGAACCATATATAACTTCTTAGATAGTCAGAAGGTTTCGTAGTATGTTGGCAGAATCTTTCGTAGGTTTGTTATCCATATAAAGATTTCGTCTTCTTCCTGAGAAACTGTCAATAGTTGAGTCGAGTATCCCAGAATTTCGCAATACTTATACAGATCCATTTGACACTTCATTGGCTGTTTTAGGGTTCCGTATTCTTTATACGAAATAATTGATAGTTTCGTAGACTATTCGAAGGTTCCATATTTTCCTATAAAATCTTCCATACGTTCATTAGGTCCTAAAATGTTCCATGTGCTTCATAGACATACATGTAATTATTGTGTGCATTCGAAAGTCTTTAATTTTTTTCTCGCCAAACCTCAATGTGTTCATGCACTAACTGCATTACTCAACCTACTTAAGCATATTTATGTATTTATTAATACCAAAAAAGTATCAGAGCTTACTACTGGAAAACATGAGAATGAGCACAAGGATCACTAAGAAATGAAACGCGATGGAGACACAATTGTGAGCGAAAAAAAGTAGCTCACTTGATAAATCAAGAAAACAACTCATACAGTATCGAGAACACGATCGGCACGTTGCTTACTGCTAAAAAAGCGTATTGATGGAGAATTGTGGCACAAATCAACGTGATATTGAGAAGGCTATTAAAAGTTTAAAAAACGAGAAGATATACTCGATATATCAATCAAGGTAATATTACCAAACAATGATGAAAATTGGCCGAGTAACGAAACCGACGTGAGCAAAAGGTCTGAGTAATGTTTGATCATCATACAATTTTTTAAATATACATCATTTTCTTCTTTTGCATTTTAAATCATCAAAGCATGTTGTAAATCTCCAATAATTAATATTCTTGAGACTGAGGCTGAAAGGAATGACAGCTACACCAGCAGATACAGGGGTTTATGTGTTGGAATGTAGATGGAAGACTAAATCTTGACACCTACAAGCATATTTACGCACCCACACACACTTTGTCGTTGATAAGAATGGTGTTTCTAATCATGAAACTTCGAAATGGTCTTCCTTAACTTCTAATTTCTGGCCTATTCTTTTTTAGTGAAAGCCTATTGATATGCTATTTGAAATAGAATACTCCAGGATTATTAGTTTAGCTATTGTTTTCAGTCAAATATCAATTGACTATGTGATGTACTTATCATTATGAGACATTGATAAGAGCAGATGGAACCACTCCATATATTTCAGTTATATATATTCAAGATTTTTATGTTTTTGTAAGTCTATTAGAAAAAGTGAAAAAAATGACTATCAAACACAATATATTCATTGTCGTTGTTCTTATTCATTTTATTGTTTATCAGGCAAATAGCGTATCACCAGTTCCTGGTAGAAAAGTTACAACGGCATATGGAGTGAAAGGTAAGCTTTGGGTACTTGGTTATCATACAGGAGCTGACTATGCATGTCCTATTGGAACAAAAGTGGTAGCAACCAGAGATGGAGTTGTTAAAAATATAAACTGGGGTGCAGGTTTAGGAATACATATCATAATTGAATCCAAAGATGCCAATGGCAAATCGGTTCGACATTTATATGCACATCTAAGTAAAAAATTGGTGAAAGCTGGTGATAAAGTTAAAGCTGGACAAGAAATAGCCAAAAGTGGAAACACAGGGCAAGTTACTGGCCCACATCTTCATTATGCAGAACGAGTATCACCATTTGCTTATGCTAATCATCGGAAACCACAATATAATTCGTAAAAAGCGATATTATTTCAGACATGCATGTTCTATTGTATACATTGCTTTTTTTCCCTTGACGTCATGTTTCTATTTCAATACATGACATGAATGGAAAATATGTTTGTTTGAAAATTTTACAACAAGTCAACTGAGTTCTATTATTATACTATTTGGTTGGTACATTCAACTTGTTTTTAAATTAGCTCGCGTTGTTTCTATACTTGTAAGTGCTTACAAAGAGAAATCATAAACATTCCCACCCCCTTGATTGCCAGCTCAAAGTTAATGCCATTGTAATTGAAGCACGTTGTCAATACAATATTTGCCACAATAAGGGTGATCAGAATTGAGTATGAAGAGAGACAAAGAGAACAAAGAGAAGGATACAACTGTAAAGATTTATATCGATATGAACAGAAATCATGGTACCAGAAGAGACCGATGTCCTGCCCATTGGGTCTCTCACTTGTTTCATACAGAAAAGTGATCAACGTCATCATTTTTTAGTTAGTGAAAGCTATCCTAATGCATCTATCACTATATGTCGCCGTCTCATAGGTGACTTTGATTATCTTTCCTATTTACCTATCACAGAAAAGTCTTTCAGATAGGTAGGAGAAAGAAAAAAATACCTTGTCGAGGTAATAATTCATAAATCAGTTGCTTTTTCCGACAGATTGTTTACTCTCACTATCCTGGCTTAAATAGATGGCTTCACAATTCTCGTGTTAGTCGCTGAATATATGTATGTCTCAAGTTGCACCAAAAAGACCGCTAGAAATATTCTCATTCAATTCAAGAGCCAAATCAACCTCAAGATCATTGTTCCATATCAGAAGATGTGATACTAGGACGGGTGAGATGGTTGAGGTTACAAGCGTTGACATCGTTATTCTCCTTTAACCAAGAAATATAACTTGAGAACCGACCACGCAGAAGTAAAAAAAAAGCACTAGCATTGAAATCACTTTCGGTATGTTCGAACAACTCTCTGTAATTTCGCCAATTGTGAGTTTGGTCAACAGTATTTTCGCCATTCGCGAATTACTAGTGTGACATTCGCCATTTAAAAACAAATATTTTTACATTACTGTATTTGCCAATTGGCGACTTTTTCCACGAAATTTATCAATTTGTAATCAGAAGAGTTGCGACTCGACTAACTTTATAGTGTACAAGATAATGTGTATATAAACGATTGTTAACCGTAAGAAAGTCAGATAATGAATCTAAAAACAAACACTAACTGAGCTGTGACTCAACTCAAGTTAGCATATGTAATTCAGCATATGCATTGCAGAATATGTTTTATTCTTTTTTTACTCGTCTTTTTAGTGAATTTTTGATAGAATATTTCAATACTACGGGCTTCTTTTCTATATGGAAGTTGAAGCACGATGAACAGTCTATTAATTTTACTACTATTCTTCTTATTATTAATTTGGGTGTGAGTATGACTCTGATATAAATAATATAACCCACATGCACACCCAAGCAATTAATTTGCTTGCCCACTATTAAGGAAGAATATATCGTCAAACTACCCATGAATCGTACAGCAAAAGACATGTCTGAATTTTTGTCCAACATGACACAGGATACTGCTAACTCGAAATGCGAGAATTGTGCTGTCAATCGATGGGAATATTGGTGTGAAAAGTGTGAGAGCTACTTGTGTACCACCTGTTCAAAAAATATTCATTCACAGAAAGTCCATCAAAATCATGCTGTTGTGTCTGCTAATCAAAAGCGTTCTTCAAACACATGTTCAGATCATCCAGATGAAAAAATAAAACTTTGGTGTATGATATGTGAAAATCATATTTGTCGGGATTGTCTTTTATTTAAACACAAGGATCATACGTATACTGGTTTACAAGATATTGTGCAAGAAACAAAGTCGAAAATCCAATCATCACTACAACCTATCAGACAAAATCTCGAGAAAGCTGCAGCGACAACTCATAGTGTTATAAAAGAACAGCATCAGCATTATACAGCAACCAAATTAGATATCGATGAAACATTTAAAAAATTACAGTCGTTTTTAGAAATAAGAAAAACAAAATTAATGCGGCAACTGGACAATTTCCGAGCAGAAGAGACATCAATATTAGAAAAATATCAAGCAGATATTAATGAACAACTGAAGACAATAAACGCAAGAGAGGTTCTGGTGAAACAAATGTTCGATAACAATGATAGCATTCAGATCATGAAAATGAAAAAAACTTTACTAGATTATGATCAACAAATCAATCAACAATTTCGACGACTTGAACAAGGATGCACTCTTGCTAAAGCTAGTTTTCATGTGAGTACAGATCTGCAACAAGAAATTGCTGAATACGGTGTTATCACGACTGAGAATGTTGTATTAACTCCAGATGGTGCTGAAGAAAAGAAGAACCATATGTTTTTGGATTTATCAAGACCTTTAGGTGAAAGTTCAACTTGGGCGTATGAAGCATCTTACGGTCGTGGCTATGTATTCCGATTGAAAAATCCGTTGAAAATTCGATCCGTACAATTAGAAGCATCAGTACATGGACAAGTAGTTATTTACGTAGTAAATAATTCTGGGATCATTGTCAACAAAGCATCTCTTATTTCAAATGATATAACTATGAAATGGACAACGATTCCGATCATCGCCGAACTAAACACTGACTATTCTATTTTAGTCTGGTCGCCAAATATAAATGGGCAATTTTCGTACAAAAAAGGTGATAATAATTTTCGTACAATTGATTCAGAATGTTCGATTGAAAGTAAATACGCAACTATAAACCATGACCTATCGATCGGAGAACGGTTGACGATTTCTTCAAATTCGCATTCAATTCAAATGATGATTGATATTGAAAAATAAAAGTATTTACGCATAATAAATCTGCATATTCTTTAACAAACTTCTCTTATTAGAAAAAAGATTAAGAAATCCAAGTTTTGTTATCTAATGCAATGATCGACAGGGTGCGTGTTTATATGGGCATTGGTGGATGAAGATAAGATCTACACCCATACTCGAACCGAAATCATTCATCTATGACTGAGTGAGCTTGTTCTTGATTCCTAGTATAAAATAATATCCTAAACGTTTCCATTAGAGCTATGAAATACACGAGAACTGCCCATCTATAAACTTAATGACTATTCTCTATCGTTATCAATCTGATGCCTTTTTTATTTCTTGCTGATTTTGTGTCTGAACTCCGTTAATTATACAATTGTTAGATATGCGACACTTGCTTCGATGTGTTCTTGAATAGTATAGAAATTTTATGTTGATGTGTTCTGAGCAGCGATTTGGCTTTCAATAAAGGCAACAAATGCATTGTACACTTCTGCTTTAGGTTTGCTCCGATCGTACTGAAAGTCACCGCTCGCTGGCTTTCCATTAAGCTTGATTAGATTAAAACTTGGGTGGTAGTACGAAGCACCATACGTGCACTGCATGTCGCCTGTAATACAAGAAAAATAATTAGAGCACATCGAATCCAACACGTTTGGAAGGTGATCACCGATCACTAATTCTGTTTCAAGATCTATTCTAGGTGGGTGTGAATGGCATACCTTTCTGCAGAGTCATTGCAAAGTTATTGCCGCATCCCCAAAAATCATCTTCAGATTTGACGTGATCCCATCAATTCCATATTTCATCACTACTACCGCCAACATTCCAGTTCTGTTCAGCTGATCGAAAGAATGCGCACATGAATATTTAATTTCGTATGTGGTTTGTTAGAAAACTTGAAATCTCTGGGCGATTTCGAACGATATCTTTTTTTTTGACTAACCTTCAACCAGAGTTGTAGATTTGTTAAATGCAGAATATCAGTGACTTTGACTCTCTTCTCTATGAGAATTTCACCATAGGGATGCAATCAATCTAATGAGTCACAGCACGAGTGCATAAATGGATAGGTATGCAGAAAGGCAACAAAAAATTTAGTGAAAGTGACAAATATAGGACAGACAAATCATTTTCAGCAGGCTTTGTCATTCACTAAATTCATGTGATCGAGTCATAAGAACGTATGAATCATAATATGATGACATAGAACAAAAAATTAGTCAAGAAAAAAAGAACGAAACCTCAAAGTGCTTCTGTTGGATATCAGTTTTTTAAATAAAATGTTGAAGACTAAGTTGAAATCTTCTTTTTCTAGATTCAGAGGTTTAGAAGAATCTACTTTGTCTCTTTTATGTCAGGTGAATGCGTCTTCACCCGTTGAAAAAACGGTGTTGTTGGAAAACGTCGAAAAGGAAAATGTCGAAAAGGAAAACGTCGAAAAAAAGATAAAGAAAATATCCATATATGGAAGTTCTCTTTATCTTTTTTTCGACGTTTTCCTTTTCGACGTTTTCCACCAACCCAGGTGATTCGATCCGACTGTCGGATTACGTCGGATTATATCGGATTATATCGGAAAAATTACCGGATTTTAACGGATCCGACGGGAACTCGTCGGAAGTTGTCGGCGTCCTAGCCACAGGATTCCGACAGGAGGTTCCGGATGTCGTAATAATCAGGATCCTGCGAAATCCCTGAAACTCCGACACTTTCCGACATCCAGAACCACTTGTTGGAATCCTGTGGTTAGGATTCCGACAAATTCCGGCGAATTTCTATCGGATTCGACAGGGTGAATTCGACCTGGGAAGAACGAAAAAACGTCTTAAACTGAGAATTATATAGCTTCTACATTGATCGTGTGTCGATAGATGCCAATACGTAATTGCATTTGCGCACTGCAGATCATCAACAACAGATAGTTCGATTATTGCTTTGCACAAGCTCATTTATCTTACTGAACTTTCAGTGCCGAACTGATTCAAATGATAATACCAGTTACCTGTTATATGTGAAAAGAACGCTGTTTTAGTTCTGTGCCGATCCATCGCCTCGATCGGGTATGAGCGTGTATGTCTTCCGTTCAACCACATCCACACTCTGAAAATCAATCACGACCGAAAGTTGGAAAGCTTAGGAATAGATATCGATGACATTGAGAGTCTTTGTTTCACTCTACACACTCCGTTCTTCATCATCGTTAAAGTGGTTTCGTCATGTTGGTTGTTTGTATCTCTTTGGAAATACAACTGAAGCTTTTTGAAAATAGTTTCGATTAAAATGCTTTATTTTTTCATCTATTGATTTTATAAATATTTGAACGAAAAGACGATTCTCGGCTAAATTATTTTATGCAAAATTTAAAGAAGGTTTTGAAACATATTGATATGCGTTGTATTGATCAACATAACAATAACTAAGAAACTATTCGAACAGAAATCTGAAAGTGAGCTCAATCGAACACGTACTAAAAACGTTTCCATCGTTTAAAATCTATCGCAGTCATTTGCTTTGCAACGTGGTCACATATAGCTTACGAAGCACTTTCATTGCTTCGGAACATCTCTGTAGTTGGTTAGTTTTGGTGTAGATATAAGTCTAAGAGTGTGAATATGAATGTAGGTATGGTTCTTCTCAACATCCTTATCCAACTAAACATTTGCGCTCTACATTCTAACTCACCCACTCTCGTATGTGTACACGTTTAGTAGTGAAATGAGCGGAAAAACTAAAATGAAAATATTTGTCACTGCAAAATGAATATTTTCAGAGTTTACCGTTCATACAGCTCTCAGATGATATATATATAAGGCCCTAGAAGCTCAATAGTCAAAGCAATACTTATGTCAGCGTATTTTGAGTCCTGAGTGAACAGGCACTAGAGCAGAGAAATTGATTCGCCAGTTGTAGCTAATTAAAAATTAGGAGGAAGCACTAAACTGGATCTAGGTAAAGAGATATTTTCTTGATGTCTTGATGTTTCAAGTAAATTCAAAGTACTGACGTAAACTGATGCGCGTCAAGCTGTGGGGAAAATGTGAACATGTAAAAATTTTTGAAAAAAACGACAATTTCTTGTAGTTCAAAATCAAACAGAAGCGATCGATTTCATTCGAAAAAATGACTTGTAACCCTTCGTGAACCAGCAAATATCAATGGTTAACTACGGTAAAAAAAGCTAATAACTGTAGATCGATAAAAATTGCAATTATTTTCATTTAGCTTATCAAGTACTAGAAAATGTATCATAATATTTCTTGTACGTAAGATAATGGAAATGTTGAAAGAAATCATGAACAGTTTTAGATGATACCATTCATTTTTTTACTTGATTTTTCCTTTCATGATAGAATATCTCGTCGAACGAATCTTAGTTTTTAACTTGTGGTTGATACCAATACAGTTCTACGGTATATTATAAATATGACTTGAATCTATACTCCTGACTATAACAATAGAAAGAATATACGTGAAGAGGCGGCAGTAGCATTTAATAAAAATCATTTTTGTTTATGTTGCTCTAGTTACTCCACTTTTCTTGTTATAGATATAAGAAAAACACTATTAAAAACAAGTATTTTGTTTCTTTCTGTCGTAGAGAAGAAAAAGAAAATAAATCAAAATGATTGTGTAAACATAAACTTCTCATAGTCACCTTCTGAACGGTTGAAATTGCAACTCTATGCCAAATTAATCTATACTAGATGTCTTATATCTAAAATTTTACGAAATAGAAAGTATGTACAAATTTGTAATGTGATACTTTGACAGTACAAGAAACTAATTCAAAAAATCTTTCTTTGAAAATTATTCCTTCGATATTTCAGAGAAGTTTAAAAGTGCTACTTTCAATCTGAATATAAAAACTTTTCTACAGTAGAAGTGGTCAAGAAACTAGAGAAGCTTTGTACTTCTCTTTTTTTTTGAAATATTTAAAATTGTTTTAAATAATAGTAGATTGCATTGATTTAAATATATTTGAAATTTGTTATCAAAATTAATACGCATAGTGTAGTTGTTTTTGTAAGCTGATTTGTAAGTTTCATTTTTTTTTTGCAGACTTAAATCCATGAAAGTAGAATTGATCTGGTATTTGAAGTCACAGTTGCTTGTATTTCTTCAGCTATTATAAAAGTCATATCTATGTTTATTTAGACCGGCAACCAATTATGTCATCGTCTAATACATATCAACTTGATTGTGGTGGACGAGCTTGTCCCATTTGTGGCAAATGTCGTGATTGGTATTGGGATAAAGGTAGTCGTTATCTTTATTTCTGTACCATGTAATCTCCCATCAAATAAACCAATCTAAATATAATCTTGAAAGATGACAAGATACGTGAATAAAATCTTGGTTATTGTCATTCCTATACTAGTATTTATTAGTCACGTTAAAAATTGATATTTTAGATTGCACAGTCGATGGAATAAATGAATAGAACTATTTTTGTTGATATTATTCATTTTTTATGCAATTATTGATCAGTTGGAAAAATATGCATTCGAAACATCAACAAAATAAACGAATACAAACATGGTTAGGAATACTCATTTGTCAAGTGATCTTTGTTGATATTACTAAGTCGTCACATCGTTTTTTGAAATGACAAAATAGAGGAACAGAATTTTATTTAGTAAACTTCATCTATCACATGATTCTTAATCAAATGATAAATTCATAATTTCTAAAGTAAGTCGACCTCAACAGGTGAACATAATCTTGGTTTTCAAGAAGCTGGTTGGCAACGTCGCCATACAGGTTGCTATTATGGTCCTGGTGCTGTTTATCATGATGTTCTTCATAATGGCTGCTATCATAGTTTATGTGTTTGCGAAAAACGCAGAAAAAACTAAACATGTGATCACAGTCAATCGAAAGCTCTTCCATGTGTTCTTTTTCTTTTTTCCCACTACCATACTCTGGCTTTTTTTTGACATTATTCAATGCAAAAAGAAAAAGTATGAAATGCACTGCATCTTATGACATGTCCGCTTTGAGGAATAAATCAAGTTTGATGAGATAAAAATTATACTAGAAAACAAAATTGCATGCTTATTTTCTGCAATGTGAGTTGTGAGCTAAGTAAATATCTCTTGTGATTTATATTGATTAGTATTATTATTAATATATAACATTTCAATAAGTTATCAAATAATCTGCAAATTATATTTAAGCACAACTCTATTTACCAAGATAACTGACAGAATAAAAGAAGACAAAAACTATTATATCAATGAAAACTTGAATAATATTAAATTCTACAGACTTTGATATTTTTTGTTTTGTTAGATGTATCAATCTGTAAAATAGTGTCAGTCCTTAAGTCTATATCATATCACTTTGCCGCTTTCATTTGTTTATTTCTCTATATCTGAGTTCCCTTTTAAAATTTTATATTCGTGTCAGATTTGAATAAAGAATATATTTACAAGATCTTATCAATGTGTATTTTGAATAGCAGGAATAAACTTTGTTTGTACTATTAACTATCACAACTCTGTGATTGATTATCGAAAGAGAGAGAAAATTAGCAACATAAATCCTTAATGTATCAGAACATATTGAGTTTATTGATAAAATAGTTACTCTTATTGACTATACTATAAATTTTCTTTCTTATATATTGTCGATGTGAATGTACTTTGTAGGAAATAACTATAACATACGATGCAGTGCATGACTTCGTTTTCTAGCTGCATAAAATATGTGGGAGAAATAAATACAGTATGATAGTAAAAAGGAAAAGAAATAAATTCAATCGGTCTCTATTATAACTAATATCGTTCTAACCTAAAAAAAGATAATAAGATATATATGCATCTTAATAATGAAAGATATAGTCATAACAATAAGGAAAGCTGTAAGAAACTAAAATAATACTACGCAAAAATGTTACAAACAGCATAGAAAAGATTTTTTGTATTAATGAATGTGATTGGTCAATAGTATACATTGAATATAAGCAGGATACTCGCTTATTCTACATCTTCACTGAACTTTGATTATTAAATGTAATCTTTTGGAAAAACAGAAATATGATCAAACATATAAAATACTCAATAGCCCTTAGCACACAGATCATGAGAATATTTTTCGAACATTGAACACATTAGTATTATTATTTTTGAGTTTTTATATAAAGAATATATTTAGCACAGCATATGTAACATGTAAGTTGATAAAAGGGTCAGTGTAGCTAGATTTTAGCTCGTTTGTAGTATGATATGATGATCGATTCGAAAATCTTTACAATTTTCATTTGTTCTAGATAACTGCATATCCTTATGATAATCATGCATTAGCATTAATATTCAATCCATAGGATGAGTCATTAATGGACAGTGATCAATAGTACAGCGCACCTCAATTGAATCTTCTCCGATTGTTGTTCTTTATTAAAATTACTGGAGTTTGGTTTTTAGTTTTCGACAATCAATATATAGCAAGAAAGTACAGACTTTACTGCATTGCATGAAATATTAACCATAAATAACAAATACAGTTCAGAGAACAAAGAATACAAGAAAAAAATAGGATATGTTATTATACTACGTATTGATGTAGAAAGACTCAAAAGTGGTCATAATTGCAAAATCTATCATTTCTGATTTCTTTAGAATCATACTGTTTTTCATGCAATCACAGATATCTTTCTGTCGCTATTTTTCTCGCTCTAGAAATCTCTCAAAATTAAAACATTCGACATAAAATACGTTATTAAAAATACGTCAGCTTTGCAATCGCTTGTTAACTCATTGGTATTTTTGTAATACATTACTATCTGTTGTTATTGAAAGTAAACAAGTACAGATAAAGAATTTTCTTGCTACGATGTAATCAATCATCTATTTGTATTTTCATATAATAAATAATATTTTCTTATCACTAGCAGTAAAAAAATATGCATACATTAACTATTAAAAATGTTTCTTGTTTGGTTGTTTTTACTATTTGTGCCCAATGTAGCTTTGGCAACAAATGTAACTCGTTCAACATCTTTATCACAGTTGAAAACACGTCAATCTAAACATTTTCTGTGTCAAATGAATGTAAAAATGTGTTCGAGTAGTTTTTTTTCGAAACCATTGTCATCCGATTATTTTAATAGTAAACTTTTCAATACTCACAGCACAATAAAATCTAAATTACTAACTGAAACATCAAGTTTATTACAAAAAGATTTATATGTCATTCCTAGTTACATTTCATTAAAGTATACACCAAGTTCAACATCTTATTATTTATTGACATATCAAGAACGAATAACGTTTCTTTATATTGCTGGTGTACTTCTTATTTTTGGCTCAGCATTATTTGAATGTTATAAATATTATTGCAAAAAATAATTATGAAATGATTATTCAAAATAAAATAACGAAATGAATTATTCTTCTATTAACTATCACTAATAAACATTATATCTATTAATTCATATATAAAATCATTTTATAAAACACATCAAGTATTCTAATTAGTTTATTGAATAATAAATATAAAACAAAATAAATTAAATAATCATTTATGCTATTATAGTCTATTTATAAATATTGTTATGCAATCTCGAAAAGGTATTTAAGATATGGATATGAGAAATATTTTTGACTATACCGATAAAAATATTATAACTGAAGATATATAAATTGAACTATAGTTAAACTTTATAATTTATAAAACTTATTAGAAAACGAATGAGTTACATGTTTGAATTACAAAATTAGCTGCTGTTCACATCAATTTTGAGATAAACATTCAATATGGCACGTTTCTAAGTAGAGGCGATTATTTATTAAATAAATATAGTTGGTTAGTACATCTTTCAATAGATCACGACATATGACGTATTCATATTTGTTTTATTTTGCATCAGTCTAGTTATGATAGTCATCAGTGCTAGAATTTTTCATAACTTGAGTGGTAATTGATTACTATCAATAAAAGAAAGTGACAGCTTGGTCGTTTTCAATATCATAATCAATTGAATTGCTGTCATATATGTATGTATCAATGTTAATTTTATCGATGAAAACCGACAATAAAACTTTTCTTATTCTTATTCTTGATCAATTAAATTCAAATTAGTCAAACTTTTCAAGAATACATTGAATGAAAATCAAAATTGATTCTACTTGAAATTTGGTTTATATTGAATCTAATGACGAGAAATCTTGTATAGAGTTGAATCATTTTGAAATTAAAACTAATTTTATTGTAAAACTTAATCGCATAACGTTAAGTTCATTGGAATACTTCTACTTTTCTATAATAGTGTGTGATTACAAATTCATCTCATAATATGTCAATCGACCAATTGGTATCAATCATACCTTGTTAGAGGTTTAATTGAGTTGTATTGTGGACAAGTTACTAATCAAGACAGTAAAATACGAAAGCAGAAGGGCTTCAAAAGAATTACTCCCAACGGAAACCATTCTTAATTAGTAAAAATTCGCCTCATAAGAAACTTACAGAAGTCGTCCAATCATTTTTGTTCCTAACTAATAT